ACCACTCATTGTGCAATAGTGGGGACAGAACCATTTTAAAGCACTTTTATTAACTTTATTTCTTTATGTACGATTATTTCTGGAGTCAAACTGATTTCATTGCTCCACCAGAGGGCGCCACAGTCTGCTTACAGTCTGTCTTCTTCTGCTGTTAATGAACTTTCTCCGTCCTCAGGTCTCCCCATGGCCGCCGTCCCCGGCTCACTGGTGTCTCCTCCTCGCGTGGCGCTGCAAATGGCGCCCCCTGCAGTCCACTCAGTGCTACTGGTGTCAAACCTGGACCCAGAGGTGAGAGGTCACACAGCAACGCAGCAGCTGACCAATAGGAGCACAGCTTTTTGATCCAAGCGTGTTTTTTTGTTCCACAGAGAGTTTCTCCCCACTGCCTCTTCATCCTGTTTGGTGAGAAGTCCTTCAGGTTATTCCCTGTGTGTCCTGCAGGGGGAGCTCAGCCTGCTGTCTCTGTGTATTTCAGGCGTTTATGGAGACGTCCAGAGAGTGAAGATCCTGTTCAACAAGAAGGAAAACGCTCTGGTTCAGATGAGCGACGCTACGCAGGCTCAGCTGGGTCAGAACCAGCACTTTGGATTCATTAACTCTTTTCTCAGATTTAAAAAGAGAACTTAGTAAATAATTTGAACTTAAAGCAATAGTGGAGAATTTTTGCGACTTTTTTAAGTCACTTGCTCTCCACTTAAAATTCTATATATTTGTTTATTTGATCAATCTTTAATCCACTTGTTTTAGTTGAACCAAAAAATTAGTTTGTTATATTTAAGTTTGTTGTTCCTTTTAATTTCTAAGAGTAAAATTCAACAGGGGTTTTTTTTTTTCACAATATAAACATTTCTGATATGATATTGAAAAGTGTCTCATTTTAATGTAGCCAAATTTCCAAATTTTTCAGAAACTAAAATTTCTTTTCTTCACTTATTTTTTAGATCCAGTTTAATTTATTTGCTATCGAATATTTAGATTTTTAGAGAAAATATTAGACCTGTGATGTTTTTCTCCTGACAGCAATGAGTCACCTGAACGGTCAGCGTCTCCATGGCAACGTGATCCGGGTGACGCTGTCCAAACACCCGGTGGTGCAGCTGCCCCGCGTAGGGGCGGGGCCAGAGGAGCAGACGCTGACGCAGGATTTCTCAGGCTCCGCCCTTCACCGGTTTAAAAAACCAGGTTCAAAGAACTTCAACAACATTTTTCCTCCATCAGCGACGCTGCACCTCTCCAACATCCCGTAAGGCCCCGCCCACTTCCTGCTCTTCCTTAATGTCCTGTCCTTTTTCCTGTCCTTCCTTCCTTTGTCCTCACTGTTTCCTTCCTTCCTTTGTCCTCACTGTTTCCTTCCTTCCTTTATCCTCACTGTGTCCTTCCTTCTTTTATCCTCACTGTGTCCTTCCTTCTTTTATCCTCACTGTGTCCTTCCTTCCTTTGTCCTCACTGTTTCCTTCCTTCCTTGGTCCTCACTGTGTCCTTCCTTCCTCTGTCCTCGTCTTCCAGCTCTTCGGTCAGCGAGGAGACCCTGAAGGACTTGTTCTCCACCAGAGGGTTCTCTGTCAAAGCCTTCAAGTTCTTCCAGTAAGCACCAAGCAGGCGACTAGTCAGCAGAGTTCGTGTTTCATGTCCGTCAGCTGTGATGATGTCACTTCCTCTGATCTCACAGGAAGGACAGGAAGATGGCTCTGCTGCAGCTGGCGTCAGTGGAAGAAGCCATCGAGGCTCTGATCGAGCTGCACGACCACCAGCTGGACCACAACCAGCACCTGCGGGTCTCCTTCTCCAAGTCCACCATCTGAGCCCCGCCCCCTCTGCAGCTCAGCGGCCAATCAGACTGCAGGGCCTCCCAGCAGGCCTGCACTGACCGATGCGGACGAACGGGTGGCCGCGTGTCGTCGAACAGGGCTCGTTGCCATGGTTACAGATGTTCCAGAGCACATTCCTGAGCAGCAGCAGAGCATCGTGGGTACTGGAGTCCAGCGAGGTGAAACACAGAACCTGCCTTTCATCCAGAACCGGTTTGAAACGTCTGAAGCTGTTTCTGTTCCTGCTGAAACCTTTTAAAACTGTTTTTTTTTTAAACTTCTCCTCCACGTCCTGCTGCTGTCTGACCGGCTGGATCATCATCATCATCATCATCATCATCATTGTTGATATTATTCCTGCTGTCCGTCCTCGTCTGTCTCCAATTCTGTTGTGCCTTATTTCTAGATTTTTTTACAGCCTGTAGGGGGCGCCTGTTTTTCCTGTGCTGGTGTGTTTCCGCTGTTTGTTCTGGGAGGGTTTTTTAATGTCAGGTGTATTTATACTGTATAACATGTGATCAGTGACGCCGTGAAGCCCCGCCCCCTTGTGTCTGTCTGTGTGTGAGCTGTGATTGGTTGAGTTTACATTTTAAAACCTGAGCAGTGGCAGATTGAAGACGTGAAAACTCTAAACCTTCAAATGTTTTATCACTTGATGTTCTGGTCCAGAACGGCTTAGATTGGACCAGAACATCAGCTAAACACTGAGCCGGAGTTTTTTCCCAAACATTTATAGACTCTACAGGAAAAAACCAAGATGAGCTTTTTGTGCCTTTAAACTTGTTAATTTATTATGACATCACTTCCTCTTAATTGGTTTCTGTTCAGGCGTCAAATTTGTGTCACGAAAGGAAGAATCTGCAGCTCCAGAACCAGAGTCTAGAACCCAAAGTTGGTCCTGCAGGTTTTAGAGGTTTCCCTGCTGATTCTGATGTTTGCAGTTGAGCAAAAGTCTGTTAATCAAAATCAAATGAAAAGCAGCAGGAAAACCTCTAAAACCTGCAGGACAGCGCCCCTCGAAGACCAATTTTAGGAATGCCTGGTGTAGAATCTGAGATTGTTCTGAGAGCCGGAGCTTTCTGAATGTGTGAAATCTGCCCGGCAACAGTTCCAGACTGTCCCTGCTGACCTGGACTTATCCATGCAGATTTTTTTTTCTTTTTTTAACCTCTTCAGGCATCTTCAGATCAGTTTAAATTCACCAAAACTGTCAATTTATGGCAACGGGACGGGAAGTTGGCACTGTAAGGATTTTAATCAACTTTCCTGCTGTTAAAGAGATTTTTTAACTTAATTTTATTATAGAAGTAGACTTAATAGATCAGCCCGTCTTCACTGATCCCATTTGCTTAAATATCGGGACCAATACTGATAAACATTGGATCAGTGCACATATGGTAATTTCTGCTGATGAGCTGCTTTGTAAGACAGATTCTAAAGAAAAAGAAACAATTTCAATAGAAATATGACTCTAGAACAAACAGTCGTTTGAAAATGAAGCTCAGATTTAATTTATTAGCCTTTTTATCGTCACAGTTAAGCTTTGAAACCATCTTACAGCCCTGAATGTGACGCAGCTTTCTGTCTGAAATTATTTTATTTATTTCAGGACTTTCTTCTGAGTCCAGCTTAGAAAAATGATTTTTTTTTAAATACAAATAAAACCTAAGTTCTCTAACAGTCATAGACAAAATATTTTTATAAAAATAAAGCCAGTGAGAGGTTTAGATGACAAAAAGGATTTGATTACTATTTAGATCCTGTGGAGCTTTTTTTCTGATTTTATTTTGAAAGGTTTTAGTTAGAAGAATCCATAGGGCTTCATTCTATCAGCCATTTGACCCCATCTGCTGAGCTTTTATTTTGAAACTCTCCATGTTTCCGGATGTATGTGCTGAATGTATGGTGGTTGTGGGCGGGGCCTTGTTGCATGATGGGGAGTAGGGGGGGTGGGTGGGGGTGGTGCTAGACTCAAACACAGACAGTTTGTTAAATCTTTATTTATTCTGGAGGTGTGACAGAAGGATGGCGCATGAATAAATAAATAAACCTTACAACCAATGGCTGCTGTCCGTCTGTCCAAGCCCCGCCCACAAGCCCACCCCTCAACGAGTCAAGTGCTGAGTGGGTAAGGCTGAGATTGGTCCGCTTACAGCAGGTGTTTAGAACAATAAAATATGAAAAATACAAAACAAACGGCTTCAGCTGGGGTTCATCAGACACCCGATGATGTCATCACCAAACCCCGCGGCTGAACACACACATCCATCCAAACACCTGATGGACTCTGCCTGCAGAAATGTTTCACCTTTTTTTTATTTATTTATATATTTTTTTGGTCCAGTAATGGTGAAATGTTTTGACCGTCAGAATAAAGAAGTTTTTTTTAAGTACAGTGAGGCAGGCTTCTGATTGGTCGACCCGCTGGAGGCGGGGCGTGTCCTCTGGTCCGGGTTCAGGTTAACAGGACTCGAGGCGGCTCTTTAACGAGCTCATCTGGTACCTGAACATCCCTGAATCAGAAACCATCACAGTTTGTTGAAATTAGTCCCGACCTGATTCACTTAAAGAAAGGAATCAAAGCTGTCGTTTCCATAGTAACAAAACAAAAGCTTAAACTTGGATGTTTTCCACCAAAGTGCTTCTTTGTTCTTTTTTAACATTAAATCTTAACACAGAGCTCTGATTGTTGGATCCAGATCGCAGACGGATCTGATTTGATACGAGACTTGGAGTGAGACCGTTTCTGTCGACGAGTCCTGATGAACCTGTGACCCGTTAGCTGATAAATAAACCAAACAAATAAGCTGCACAAGTCTCAACTCGACACCCGGCTGATTAACGTTGCTTGTTGGATCGGTTGCCCACGGCGACCCGAACCGAATGCTGCGACATGTTTACGATGAACCAACAGCCTAAAACCTGCTGGTCACATGACCACCAGGTGGAGCCGTCCCTGAAGTCGCCAGCAGGGGGAGTCGGGTGATGCGTTATCTCTGCTGTGTTTTTCAAAATAAGAGCTTTGTTGCTGCTGCGATTTCCTGTTTTTCGAAGTTAATAAGTGGAGGACCAATGAGAAGCCAGAGCTGTTAAAGCTTTGTCCTCATTGGCTGATCAGAGATCTGGTTATTCAGTGCGATGCGTCACTCTCTCTCCTTGTTCGGTGCCTCTGACTCACTCACCTTTTTTTTTTTTTTCCTTTTGTCATATTTAGCACCAACATAAATAGTTTATAAAAACACACTCACTCACACACACTCACACGCCTGTCTTATAAAACAATCAGTCTCTGTCTGCTCCTCCTCTTTGTAATGATGAGGGGGGTGAAAGCCGAGCGGCCGGTCGCTGCGGTAACTACACGTCCAGAATCTCCTCGGCGGTGCCGCCGCAGCGCAGCCGGTAGCGACCCGTTCTCCAGCTGATGGTGGGGTCCCACAGAGCCGACAGGAAGATCTGCACGGCCATGGACTCTCGGATGAACCAGGCCACAGCGAAGTCCAGCTTGGAGAAGCTCAGAGGACCGCCCTGCAGGCGACCAGAACCGGTTCAGTCTGAGAACTTTCCATCTGTTAAAGTGCTGACGGTCATGTGACCTACCTGGACTCCAGTGAGCTGGATGTAGTCGGCGATGAACCAGGCCAAGCAGTGACACATGAAGAAGACCATCATGTCCCACCTGAAACAGAAACCAGTCAGGTTGGGTCTCATAAAAACAAACTTCTTTCACGCCATCGTCACATATGGTCAGGCATTTTGGAGGAAAGGAGGAGAAATATATACAGAGATGGGAAGTAACGAAGTACAAATACTTCGTTACTGTACTCAAGT